GGCATCTGGGGCTCTGCCAGTGGTTCTGGGTGGAGCTTTGTGGGAGCAGCGGGGAGGTCAGTCTGGAGGCTTTGTGTGTCCAGGCGTCTGCCCTGGGACCCCACCGAGAGGGAGGAATGTGAATGTGATCCAGAGCCGCTGAGGGTCACCCTGAGGGCTGGCCAGGCTTGCGCCTGGCAGCTCATAAATGCCCAGAAGGAATGGGCTGTGGGGGGGTTTCCATTGTGTCAGCAGCAGCCCCGACTGAGCAGGGTACCTCCCCTGTGGCTCCCAAGATATCGTAAACCTGTCACTAGGGGGCCCTCCCTGGGAGCTGTGCTGGGAGCCAGGTGGCACAGTTGGGCCCCCACCCAGGGCCATTTGCCACGAGCAGTTGCGCAGCCCACAGGCCACCAGCTTGAGGCCCTTTCCTGTGGCCGCGTTGTCCGCACAGCCTTCCCTATGAGGCCCGCCATCTTGGACTCTGGGGAACATGGGCTCAGTATTAGATGCTGAGTAGGGTAACAGACCCTGGAAATGGCATTGGAAGACCAGGGTTCAAGTCTCAGTTCTGCCACATAATTGCTGTGTGACCTCAAGCGAGTTGCTTAACCAGTCTGAATCACAACTCAGCCACAGAATGGGGACTTAAGGGTCATGGTGTATGTTCAAGTGCTGGGAGGGAGCCCTGTTGGATAGCAGAGGGAAGAAGCCCTGACCCCAGCTGTCCCCTCTGGACCCTTGGCATCAGAGCTGTGCTCCGGGTTCATTCTCATTTTGCTTTCTGCTCCCCCTGCCCCCACGAGTTTAATGCCAGCTAAGATGGACGAGGGACTCTGAGAGCACCACTCACATCACAGTCCGTGAGAATAGCACCTCCTGGAAGGGTGCAGGGCACAGCCTCCGTGGCTGTACGTGGTGGCCCTGGCCCTGGTTCAGAAGAGAAGTGACAAGGTCTGAGTTAGGGCCGTGGCAGGAGGGTGGACAGGAGGGGCAGAGCCCAGGGGCTCTGAGGCTGGATTGGCAGATTGAGTGTGGGGTACCCAGGGAGGGATGAGTCAGGAGTCCAGCTGGGGTCTGCCGAGTGACAGGAGCCCACGGTCCAAGGGCAGGAGATGCCCAGCAGACCAGAGAGGGTTTTCAAGTAGTCTCCCCAGAGGTGGCTGGTGGGCACTGATCCCACAGTGAGCTGAGTACGGAGAGAAGGGCTGAGGACACAGTGCCATACCGTGCAGCCATACAGCGTGTAGCCTTTTATGTGCGGCTGTCACTTAGCGTGCTTTGCTGTGCGTGTCAGTGTCACGTTCCTTTTCCCTTCAGAGTGGCTGTCGTGGTATGGAGGTGCCATATTTATTTATCCATTCACCAGTTGAAGGACATTTGAGTTGTTTCCAGTTTTTGGTTATTATGAATAAGACTGCGGTATATTTGTGTACGGGTCGTTGTGTGAACATGTCCTCGTGGGTAAGTGCCTGGAAGTGTGAGCGCCGGGTCATGTGGTAGGCATTTAACTTTATATGAAACCGCCAAGCCGTTTTCCACATTGGCTGCCCGGCTTGCGTCCACCAGCAGTGGATGAGGGCTGAGAACATGATTTGTACTTCTGTGTTTTGGTGGCAACATGATAGAAGGCCATATATCCCCCAGGGTGCTACCTGAGATGATTTTAGGTGATACATGGATGAAAATTTTTTTTATATTTTACAAGTTACAACTATATTTTAATGAGCATTGAAAAAATGTAATCAGCACATCAAACCCATGGTTTCCTGGCTATTAATGCTAATGACATAGTCCCTTGAGTCAGATTGCTGGGTTTAGCTCCTAGATCCCTTTCCTACTGGTTGTGTGACCTTGGGCAAGCCATTTCATGATGCTCACATTTGTCTTCAGTAAAATGGGTTAATAATGTCCCTTCCTACCTCATAAGTTTTCCTCTAAGGGTGAAACTGGTAAGTGTATGTAAAACTCCCAGTCCAGAGCTTGGCACGTATAAGCGCTTGACAAGTGGTGGCCATTATTATTAGACGTGTATGGCCCATGGGTGACTGGTGTGTTTAATGTGTATTGTTCTGTACATCCATGTGTACATGAATACATGCATGCGTGCACAGTATGTGTGTGCATGTGTGGTTCCTGGGCTCAGGAGTAGGGGAGAGGATGAGGCCCTAGGGTCAGGATTACCTTCATGTGCTCACAGGTGTCTGTGTGCACCCATGAGTGTACCTTTTGGTGGCCACATGTCTCTGGCCCCAGGACCAGGGTCTCCCTATTCCTAGCTTCCCCATCTGTTCTGCTGTCAGTCCGGGTGCCGGGCCTGTGCTGCCCCTGCCACACCCCCAAGTCTGCACCTCCAGGTCTTCCATGTGGAAAGGAGGCCTTGGCACATGTCCGTCCAGGGCCCGTGTCTCTGCCATACTTGCCTAGAGCCCTGTTTTCTGGGCCTTTACCCAGGGGCGCAGAACCCCAGCGGGGTTGGGCGGGAAGGAGAGGAAGCGTTTTGAAGGGATTGCAGGCCCACAGTGGCTCCGTGCACTCTGGGCGGAGGCTGGGGAGGGGAAGCCCAAAGGAGAGGCTCTCATTAGCAGCTGGGCTCAGCAGGTTTTAAAAAAGCACTTTATTGAGGTATAATTGACATACACTAAACTGCACGTTTCAATTGTCCAGTTTGGTGAGTTTTAACATACGTATGGCCCAATGAAGTCATCACCGCAATCTAGATAAGGAACATATGGCCTAGATGTGACCTGTGCTCCTTGGTAACCCCTCCCTCCCTCCTCCACCACCCAGGCCCGCGCTTATCTGTGTTCCATCACCGGAGCTTGGTTTGCACGCCCTGCAGTCTGATAAAAGTGGGACAAGGTAGAGGCAGGGGAAGAAGGTAGAGGTGAAGGGAGCGGAGGCCCCGCAGTTGCTGCATGGATTGTGTGCTCTTTTGTTTTTTTAAACTGCCTCATTTCACTCAGCAAAATGATTTTGAAATTCATCCATGTTGTTACTCATATCAGTAGTGTGTTGCTTTTTACTGCAGAGTAGCATTCCATTGTGTAGAGTAGTAATCCACTGTGTAGTAGGATTCCATTGTGTAGTAATTGCATTGTTATCCACTCACACAGCACGGTTTTTTTCCCTTATGCTCTCACTTCTGCATATGGACATATCCCTAAACAGTGTGTAATGTTGCCTTTCACCAGCAGGTACTTTTTGAAACCAAGAGTCAAGCCGTGTCTGAGGCTGGCCTTAGCCCAGTGGGCATCTTTTCCGGGCAGGGCACTGTAGCCGGTGCCACTCTCTGCCCTTTGGCCCAACTGTCCTTGTCCCTGGAATCACCTCCCTGCCTCTGCACTAACCAGAGGCCATCAGCATCTTCCAGGTGGCCTTCCCAGACTGTCTGGGTCTCCTCCGACACTTCCAGCCCTCACAGCTTCATGGCTTCCAAGGCCCTTGCACTGTTCAACCACCATTGTCTTGTCCCCCTGGTGAGGGCAAGGGGAGTTCCTCCTCCAGAGAGGCCCAGGCCGATGCACAGAGTGTCTGGCTGGTCCCAGGATCTGGGGACTGGTGTCTGGGGCCCTCTGGGGAAGGAGGGAGCAAAGATGCAAAGGAATGCAAAGGGATGCAAACCAAAGCAAACGCAGCCTAGACAGAGGGCGGGTCTTCCTGGCTTCCAGGATTCCTCTCTCCCTGTCCCTGCCCTCCTTGTCTTCCATCTCCTTCCTGGAAGCCCCTCCTCCTGGACCTTTAGGGAGTGGAAGGGTCTGGGCAGGCCTGATGCCAACCAGCTCTCTGCATCATTAAGTTCTTTTCTTGGAGGGACCAAAATTCGAAACTTCCCGAAGGCCTCCGTCCCACTCTGTGGCTTTCTGCTCCTCTGTCCCCCTTCTTCCCCTCCTTCACGGCTCTCTTTCCTCCAGATGACAGCATGGGTGGGGCTCTACTTTCTGAGGAGGGACACAGATCTTGGGGACAAGTGAGCACCTCCTGTCCCAGCCCCCAGCCCTTGAAGCTGCATATTAATGCTGCAGGTGCTGCTGCAACTTGTCTTGGAGCCAGAGAGGGGAAGAGTCTTCCCCAAGATCACACAGCCAGTTAGTGACAGACACAAGCCACCCACACGTAGACCCATACTCTTTCCTCTCCTTGCCCCGTCTCCTGGAGGCCAACTGTACGTTTGTGAAGTGTCTTCTCCTCAGCCAAGCCCTGCCCGGTGCTCCGACCCACTTTGGGATGCGGTAGACCTGTCTGCAGAAGAAAGCGCCATGCCTCCCTGGCCAGGGGATCTTGTGGCAGACCCTGGAGCCCACCTGTGCCCAGGATGCTTCAGGCTTGGGTCCTGTAAAGCAGGGAGGAAGCCTGGGGTGCAGGGAGTGGCCTTACAGGGAGGGGGACCTGATGGGCACAGCGCCCCGCCCACCTTCCTGGGCTCCTGTGGCAGCCCCCGGTCACCTCCACTGCAGCCCAGCCCTGTCAGCCCAGCTCCGGTACCCCCAGGAGGCTTTCCCGAGACGTGACCTGCCTGTCAGTGCTTTTAGTGCCTACCACTGTGCCTTTTTGTGTCGCGATGTCTGTCCATGATTCTTTCTGCCTGGACTGTTGGCTTCCCGAGGACAAGATCCATGTATATTTCCTGTCTGCATCGCCAGAGCCCAGGAGAGAGCTTGGTATTTAGCAAATACGTAATGAGTAGTTACTGAGTAAAATAAATGAAGAAATCAGTGGCTGGCGGTGGGCAGATAGTAAGCGGTGATGTATCTCCTGGTGGGTGGGGGGTGGTGGAAGGAGATGGTGGTGGTAGGAGGCGAGGGGTGGGGAATGAGGGGGGGTGGTGGATGGCAAAGTGGGAGACGACATGGCAGGAGACAGTGGCTTGGGGAGGGTGGTGGTAAAAGGTGGCGGTAGTGGCGGGAACACTGGCAGTGAGTGACTTCTGCTGTGCCCAGCCCTCTGCGCTTCCCTAGGGGACCCTGGTCAGGCTCCTCGACCAGTTAAGTTCTCTGACACTGTGGCTTGTTCCTTTGCAGACTCCATTGGGGGCCCTTTCCCCGTCACCTCTCACCGATGCCACCACAAGCAGAAGCACTGCCTGCCGGTGCTGCCCGGCGGGGGGCTCCCGGCCACGCCGCTGCTGTTCCACCCGCACACCAAGGGCTCCCAGATCCTCATGGACCTCAGCCACAAGGCCGTCAAGAGGCAGGCCAGCTTCTGCAACGCCATCACCTTCAGCAACCGCCCGGTCCTCATCTACGAGCAAGTCAGGCTGAAGGTGGGCCTCCCCGCCCTCTCGGCATCCCTGGGCCTCTAGACTCCCCCGCAGCCACTGCCCGCGCCACCCCACAGCCACACGCTGCCCCTCCCCTTTCCTCTCCGTGCCCACTGCCCTCTTCATTGCCTTTCCCCACCCTCCCCGTGTGACAAAGAAGGGACCACTAGCCTCTTCCCCCAGACCATGGGAAGCTCCCTGGGGAGGGGAAGGCGTGGAGGGGCGGGCAGGCTGGCCTGGCGCTCCTGGGAGTCTGCCCGAGGGGGGAGCCCTTGGTCTGCCTGACCGAGGGGGAGGCTGGGCTGAGGCCGACCCCTGCCACCCAGATCACCAAGAAGCAGTGCTGCTGGAGCGGGGCCCTGCGGCTGGGCTTCACGAGCAAGGACCCGTCCCGCATCCACCCCGACTCGCTCCCCAAGTACGCCTGCCCTGACCTGGTGTCCCAGAGCGGCTTCTGGGCCAAGGCGCTGCCCGAGGAGTTTGCCAACGAGGGCAACATCATCGCCTTCTGGGTGGACAAGAAGGGCCGCGTCTTCCACCGCATCAACGACTCAGCCGTCATGCTCTTCTTCAGCGGGGTCTGCACGGCCGACCCGCTCTGGGCCCTGGTGGACGTCTACGGCCTCACGCGGGGCGTCCAGCTGCTTGGTGAGTGCCTGCCGCTCTGGCCCCTGGCGCAGGGTACCCCCCCCAGGCCTTTGGGTGCTGGCCTGACATGCTCGATCCCATCAGGTGTAGGGACCCCTCCTTGACTGGTGGCAGCCCGGGGCCAAGGGGGCAAAGGGGCAGCTCTGGGAGCCTTGTGGGAACTGCAGGGAGCTCTTCCCTCCCCGCCGCAGCTTTGGCCAGTAGAGCCCAGGTGAGAACGCTTCCTTGCGCAGCCGCTCAGGTGGTGCCTGTGAGCGGTGGGCAACCTTCACAATCATAAACAGCGGAAGACCACCCCTCCTGGAAGTAATTAATGTTAATCACCCTAACCATGGTTCACAGGGCACTTCACCATTGCGCATTCTCGTAGCAACCCTGGCAGGCAGACTCCACTGCTGGGCCCATAGGGGTGGAGACGCAGGTCCAGGGAGGTTGAGTCACTGCCCCAGGAGTAGTAGAGCCAGCTCCAATGCGAGCTCTCAGCCCGCAGGGCTCTGCAGCCTGCCAGGAGGCTGGGATGTTGGGTAAAAGGGTAGGAGCAGAAGGAATGTACTAGGGGAGGTAAGACTCTGCCAGTGGCTCCTTCAGGGAAGCGGAGGGCAAACATCCCCAGGGGTAGGAGAAGGAGCATCAGAGCCTGCCTGGAGCGCTAGGTGCCAGGCTTCCCAGCAGCGGCACACATGCTGAGGCTGCAAGGGGGCACAGAGAATCTCGGACTTCCTCAGGTCACATAGTGAGTTTGTGGTTAAGGTGGGACTAGAACCCAGGTCACCAGATTCCTAGTCCAGGATCCTTGCCACCTGACTGTCCTCGTGCACAGGTACCCAGGTGTGTGTGTGTGCACACATATAGACTCTGGGTACAGATCAGCCCATCGGAAAACTGGCTTTGTCTCCAGGCAGAGCCTGCACGAGCCTCAGGTTTCTCATCTGTAAAGTGGGTTGCTGGGAAGATTGCATTAAAGAGGCTGTGAGTAAAGTACCCAGCACAGTCCTGGGTACCAGGTCCACACTCGAGCAACCCCCCTTCCTCCCTCACCCATCCCTACCTGCCTCTCCCTGCAGAGAAAGAGGCCATGAAGCTGGTTGACAACTATTTTCTTTCCTTTCTGACTTCAGAGCCTAGTAACAGGGAAGCTCTTCTTTTCAAAACACCTTTATTTGAGTAAAAAGCCAGTGAAAGTAAAAACAGAGAAATGAGTCAGAAGCCTGTCTGTTTGTTGAGTTCCAAACATCAGGAGGCTGTTTTTATTAACTAGTAGTTTGGGAACTTTCTGTTTTTGAACTCAAGTGTTTCTGCATTCACGCGGACATGTTAAGAGCCTGAAACCCAGCTGTTGGGTCTCAGCAGCTGAAGAAGGGAGCCCAGGTGTTTGTCCTGTGCACCTGTGCGCCTGCACGTCTGAGACCCACAGACCCAGGCTGGATTCTGGCCTCACTCTGTGCTGGGGAGGTAGGACCTCAGTTTCCTCATCTGTAAAATGGGTACAATAACAAATACTCTGTCAGGGTTCTTTTGAAGTCTCAAAAAGCCAACCTGTGAGGAGCAGCTGAGGCACAGTAGGGAGTCAGTGACCATCAATCCTCCCCACCCATCCTGCAGAGGGCAGGGCTTAACCCAAGGCTCCTGCAGGCGCCTTGGTGCTGCTCCGGTATCCTCAGGGCCCCACACTTCTAGGCATTGGAGTCCCAAAGTTTGAGTTTGAGCCCCACGCTGGCGCATCTGCCTGAGCCCCTGTCTTCCCATCTGTATGATGGCTGTGGGTACTATGCCTTAGCTCCCGGCTCGACCTCAGGCTAGAGGACAGAGAATGTCTCTGCTCTTGAGAAAGTCACCGTCTTGTTGTGGGGTGGACAGGGGAAAGAGGCGGGGCACCATTTTTGCTTTTCCCAAAGCAAAGAACGCCCTTCCTGGCTGTCCCCACTCTGGCTTCAAGGCCTAGCTCTAAAGCCCCCTCCTCCTTGAAGCCTTCCTGGGTGGAATTCTCTTCTCTGTCCTTGTGTCCCACCACGTGTTGCCTGCACTTCTCAGTACGAGGCAGTGGCTGAACCTGGGTCCCTCCCCGTGTCTCTCTCCCTGTAGGACAGCAGGGCTTTGGGGAGGACGCCCCCTCACCCAGTCGGGTCCTCTCCAGGTGGAGTCTCATGCCCGGCCTGCAGGGTGGGTGGGGGAGAGTGGCGGGGTGGGTGAGTGGGAGGGCGGATGACTTGTTAGATGAAGAAAGGCGTTGGGGGTGCTGAGGCAGACCCCGCCCTGCCCGCGGACAGCCGCAGCTCTGCGGGAAGTCAGGGGATGAAGCAAACGGCAGGGCAGACAGAGAGAAGACAGCAAATCGCCGAAGGCTGCGTCATAGGATCCCTGCCATCTGCCGAGATGGTTTCCATCCGGTTATCTCACTTAACCCCTCAGCAGCAGGCCCCAGAAGGAGTGTTTTTTATCCCCATTTGGCAGGGAGATAACTGAGGCCCACAGAAGGCCTGGCTTGTCCTTGTAGGGATGTGGCAGAGCTGGGGCTCGAACTGGATGTTCTGATACCAAAAGCGATGCCTTTCCCGTTACTCCGCAGCAGGTTTAAACATAAAAGGAGGCAGGAAGTCGGAGAGGGCGGAGGTCAGTGAGGGAGGATGGAGTCCAGGAAGGCTCCTTGGAAGAGAAGGCTGGGCTGGGCCTGTATGTGCTGGGGGGTCTGCGCAGGGGGGGATGAAGGAGAACGTGCCAGGTGACTGGGGCTTCCAGCCTGAGGGGCGGCGGGGGGGGCAGAGCCCAGGCGGCCTGCCCCACCCGCTCTTTGACTATAAATGAGTTTGCAGCAGTATTTTCAGTTGCGTTTGGATTTCCCGACAGGCTCCTCTCTGCACACCCGATAAGGCCGGAGCCCCAAGGATTCCCGTCCCAGCTGTAAATCACCATAATCCCTGGGCATTTTCGAACACTGACTGTGGCCCCTAAATTCAATTAGCAGATTAAAATATCTCTTCATTCTGTTCTTCCTAAATTGATTTTTTTTTTTTTGTAAATAAAAGAGCCAGAGCAAGCATCCGTTCAAGAGATGTCTGAGGTGGGCACGGTGCTCTCTGCCTACGCTCTTGCCCTGCCCTCTGAGACGTCCCTGCTGCCTCGTACGGAGGGTCCCTCTTCTCCCCTTCCTCTCTTCCCCCCTTCCCACCTCTCCCTCTCTCCCCTCCCTGCTTCCTCTCTTCCCCTCTTCCCACCTCTCCCTCTGTCCCCTCCCTGCTTCCTCTCTTCCCCCCTTCCCACCTCTCCCTCTCTCCCCTCCCTGCTTCCTCTCTTCCCCCCTTCCCACCTCTCCCTCTCTCCCCTCCCTGCTTCCTCTCTTTTCCCCTTCCCACCTCTCCGTCTCTCCATCTAGGGCCACTTCATTCCTTCTGTATCCTTGGGCCTTTCCCTCTCTCTCCCTCAGCCTGGGTCCTCCGGCTCTTCTTGTCATCCCTGTTGTCCCCTCCCACCTGCTGACTCTCCTCTGAAGAAGGTCGGTCTCTGTCTTGGCAGCTCTGAGGCTGGGCCAGTCTTTTCTCCAGTGATTATTTCTCAAACAAGTGTCTGATCTTTAGGGATTTTCTGCCAAGCCTGCCCCTGTTCCTCCTCCGTCTGGAACCTGTGGCCACAGCCCTCCAAGCCTCACCTGGCCCATATCTGCTCCTCAGACCAGAGGCGTCCTGGGCTGCTTGGCACATAGTAGGTACGCAAGTCAGACTGTGTCCCTGGACAGAGTGGAGGTAGGGGCTGGTGTCTCCTCCCGCCTGACCCTCATCCTGCCCTCTGTACCCTGACCATAATGCAGGGACACTGTTGCCCATGCCACAGCCCCAGAAGGCTTCAGGCTGGCCTGCCACCCCGCTACGCTGGAGCTGGGCAGATCACCCTCTTTCCTCGGGGCGCCCTGGCCCAAGCCCAGGCTGGTAACTCCAAGAATAACAGCTTCCTACCTCCAGGAAGAAGGACCCGCCAGCAACTAAATAAACACAAGTTTTATGGGGTGATTAATACTTGGAGAGAGAAGCTCCTCTCCCAGTTTTCAAGGTCTTCTTGCTCCTCTGAGAACTGTTGACGCAGGAAGCTCAGCCGTGAGTCTTGGCAGGAGGCTGATGAGCCAAGACTCCACATACAGGGTGCTGAGCATCCCTCTGTGCCCACCACAGCCTAGGCACTCTGCAGGGGATGGGGGGAGACAGAAGAGTTGAAAACCAGCCCCTCTCCTTGAAGAGTGTTTCCACTGGAGGCACACCATATGACTGACGTGAGGTGGCCTAAATCCAATCCTGCGATTAAGTGTGGGCTGAAGAGGAAAACTGTGAGAGTGCAGCTGGAGAGCAATCCAGGAGGACTTCCTGTAGGAGATGTGTTTCAAGTCAGGAACTGAGAGAAACAATGGGTTGGTCAAGGAGGAACAATTTGGGCCAGACAGGAGGGGTGTGCACAGGCAGAGAGTGGGGGATTAGCAGTCAGTAGGGGAGCAGATCCTTGGAGGGAAGAGATGAAGTAGAAAGGTAGCAGGTGACTCGTGGAGGTGTGGGGTGTGCACAGGTGTGGGTTGTGTATGCATCCACGGAGGAGAGAGCCACGAGAGTAGAAAGCTTCCAGCAGCTTCTGTGCCATCAAGTTGTTCAACAAAAGGAATCATCGTTAACGGTGGAGAAGTGCAAGGCCCAGAGACAGGGAGGGGCCTGCCCAAATCCTCCCAGCTGGTTGGAAGCCAGGCCAGGCTGGGAATCCAGATCTCCCAGGCTGATCTGGGAATGCGGTCAGAGGGAGGAGACCTATTGGCACATCAAAGTGGTTGTGGCTGAGCCCAGGAGGGTGCTAGGAGCGTATTAGGGGGCTCCCAAGGGCTCATGGCATTCTGTTCTGTCCCTCAGGAGGAAAGAGCTGTGTGGAGACTCTCAGGGTAGCCTTCTGAGGGCCAGGATGCTGGGCTGGTTCTTGGGGGTGGCAGGCCAGCCTTGAGAGGCTGGGTGCCCCGGAGGTAAGGCCCGGGTCAG